AGTTTTGGGTTGTTGTGAGATCATTTTCATTTGTTTCCAGAAACTTTTTGATTTCTTCCCTAATTTCATTCTTGACCCATTCATTGTTTAATAGCATACTGTTCAGTCTCCATGATTTTGGGTGTTTTGGGTTTTTTCCTTTGGGGTTGGTTTCCAGTTTCAGTCCCTTATGGTCAGAGAAAATGCTTGGTATGATTTCAATATTCTTGAATTTGTTGAGGCTTGTTTTGTGCCCTATCATGTGATCTATCTTTGAGAATGTTCCATGTGCATTTGAAAAGAATGTGTATTTAGCTTCTTTGGGGTGAAGAGCTCTGTATATATCAGTTAGGTCCATTTCATCAAGGGTGTTGTTTAATGCCACAATGTCTTTGTTGATATTTTGTTTGGAAGATCTGTCCATTTTTGATAGTGGGGTGTTAAAATCCCCCACTATAATTGTGTTGCTGTCTATATCTTTCTTGAATTCCTCTAAGATTTTCCTTATATATTTTGGTGCTCCTATGTTGGGTGCATATATATTTATGATGTTAATGTCTTCTTGGTGGATTTTTCCCTTGAGTATTATGAAGTGACCTTCTGGGTCACTCTTAATGGCTCTTTTTTTGAAGTCTATTTTGTCTGATATGAGAATTGCTACCCCGGCTTTTTTTTCTTGTCCGTTTGCTTGGAAAATTTGTTTCCAGCCTTTGATTTTTAGTCTGTGATGGTCTTTTGTCCTGAGGTGGGTCTCTTGTAGGCAGCATATGTGTGGATCATACTTTCTTATCCATGACGCTATTCTGTGTCTTTTGATTGGAGCATTTAATCCATTTACATTTAAGGTTATTATTGATAGGTACTTATTCATTGCCATTTTTGTATCTGTGTTCCTCTCTGTCTGCATGATCCCTTTTTCTGAAATCCAGCATCATCTTTTATCTTTTAGGTTCAATATTTTTCCATTTTTGCTACATTATTGTCTTCCTGCCATGGGAATTACTTACAATTTAGCAAATTCTGTCTAACTATAATAATAGTTCAACTGGATCTTTAGATATTATAGAGTAGCAATAACAGAAGGTAGTTACTAATTTAATATGTAATCAACATCTTGGCAGCCAAGGAAAGGGAGTGCATTTGATAACCATGTTTCTATCCATCCTTCAACTCTTCATTTAGAGGTAGAATGATTACTCACCTAGATGCTCACCTAGGGGTAGGTATGAGTTGGGACAGAGAAACCCAACTCATACAGAAATGAGACAATGAGAATGAAGAAAATGTAGGTTTCTATACTTTGGAGAAGAAATGCAATTTATTGAGTGGGTAATACTGTAGTAGCACTGTGATGGATATTTCATACAAATTATGCTTTATTTAAGCTTAACCATCCTAAGAAGTTATCTTCATTCTTTCACAAACTAGGATATTCAATATCAGAGAAATGAAAGTTCATGAATTCTAAATTCTGGACTAAAATCTAGTTTTGACTAATTCTAAATGTATATCCTTTCCAAGCTCAAAAATGTAGTCAACTCTTGTATTTCTGGGGGAAAAACAGCAATAGCCATCTATTTTGTCTAATTATTATATGAATCTATTAAGGGATTTCAATATGTTAGCTATATGTCCAAATTAGATTATAAATCCCACTGGGGTAGAGATAAATTATTTAAGTTTATTAAAGCTACAGAATACAAAATAAGTACATTACAGAATATCCTCATCTATATTCAAAGTTAAATCTACCTCTGCCCAATTTCAAAGTAACCTTTGATAATTATTACGAAGACTTCTTTTATAGTTCTGAACAGCTATAAACAAGGCTGCTGCGGTTGGCTTCAGACTAAGGAGGAAGCACAGAATAACCTAATGGAAATGAAAGACTAGGAAGAGGTTTCATGTATCTCTTGTGTGGGAAGAGTGGTGATATCAAGGATAAGGAAGGGCTAAGTCTGGTGAGAAGTCAAAGCAGAGGGACAGATAGTTACCGTTGGGCAATACTGACATATTAGGAAATCATCCCAACTTTGTACTAAAGTGCAAAACTGAGTATCCATGGATGCAAAGTGTTATAGAATGGCATTTTATCCAATGAATGTTACTACTCTGAACACAAAACAATCTTCTGCCGTGAAAGAGCTCATAGCATACTATCATAAATTATACATGTATAAAAATCATTCTAAAGTACAAATTTTTATGCAATTTAAAAATTGGTATAGCATATAAACATGTTGTATGAGATTTCAGAAGAGGGAGAGATAGGTAGGAAGGTCCTTTAAATAAGTGGTTGCTCTCTGACAAGGACAGGAACATAGAAAAGTGTGCAAAAGAACACACAGGATCATGCAAGGAGGCAAATCACATTCTGAGCAGTGTCTAAAAATCTATTCAATAAACCACATGCAAATATTTGCATTATACTAACAGAGATAGTCAAGTTGGAAGGACAATGATTGGTTAGACTTTAATCTACTCTTACAATGGGTGTAAATTAAGTAGGAAGGGAAGTAACAGGTTTTTAAGTTATATATGGGTAACAAAGGTTATATCTTGTTGTCCTATGTATAACTAAACAAATGTCATCAGTCTCTGGTGTTAAAATAAGGAGTGGTTTATGTCAGCTAGAGGAAGGCAGATCATTCAAATCCTTTGTGACAATCTTTTCACGTTTCTTATATTGACTCTAATTCCTGGACACTTTTCAGACATCTGCTTTCTCAGAGTGTACACACAGTAGGTGTCCATTATGACTGCACTGAGTATAGGAACTTTATGCCCTAGTGACCCTTTTCTATAAAATACCTGGAGATGCGCATTGCTGATGAAACTATTAGAAATATCAAGAGTGATGCCAAAGGGAGACAGCTGCCAAGGCTTGGCATGTGCTTTCTCACTAGGGTTGCTCAGTGCAAAAAAAAAGTCTTGTCCCTATGTAGTTTTGGAGAGTATCATATGTTTATAAAAACATATTCTTAAAACTTCATGAAGCTCCCAACTGGTTTCATATTAATTTTTTGTTTTATTTGGCCACCAAAGGACATAATGAAATGTGGTTCATAATAAGTCAGGATAACTACCAAAGATTAAACATCAAATGTACAGTTTTCTTACCAGCAGGTGAAAATTAAAGCTATCCAATGGCATTTAAGAAGTAAATAGAAAAAGCACAAAACCCCCAAAAATTCGTAAGTGTAAACTAGGAAGTAAAGTAGAGGAACTAAATGTTAATAGTCAGGTTGATTAACACCTGTCATTTGAGATAGAACTGCGTTCTGTTCAGAAATAGATCAAGGCCGGAGCTCCAGTGGCGCAATTGGTTAGCGTGCGGTACTTATAAGAAATAGATCTAGGAGATAAAAGTGAGCAAAGGAAAAACTGACACTCAAACAAAAAATATTAAAAGAAAATAAAATCACAAGTTACAATCATTTATAAGCAGAGACAAAAGTATAAAATTAAATGAGGTATAACTAAGCAAATTCTATGGTGTATTAAACATTGATATATCATAAGGTATGATTTAGCCAAGAGATATAAATTTCACAATGAGGAAATATTTCATTTCATTTTACTTATGGTACTAGATTAAAGTAAAAGAAAAATCATAGGATTGTCTTAATTCAGGAAAACCAGCTATCAGGTATCTTTAAACACACACACACACCAGAAACATTTTGAGGGAAACTTGACAAGTGGGTCTTAAACTTCTTTTGAAATATAGTGATACCCAAGAACATTTGAGGAGAATTTGAAAAAGAAATGCAGGGAGAGTGTTTGTTCTTTCAAATAGTAGCTTTTCTTTTCACTTAATGGACTTTAGACATCTATCAAACTGGGGGAGCAACTCTGTACCCTTATCAAAGTGATGCTTACAGATTCAGCTCTTTTGTAAACTAGTGTAATTCTTATTACTTCCATCAAGTTATTAATATGATTAAGTAATTACTGCTGGAAATGTTCATTCAAGTCAAACATTTATCAACCAAGCATGTCTTTAGGGTACTGGGGTGATTACTGAGAGAGGAATAAAAATAAACAAAATACAGTTCCTTTTCTGGAAGGAGTTTACAATCTCCTAGTAAGATATCATGAAGTAGAGGCCACTCGCTGGACTTCACCTAGGCTGGCTGTCCAGGCGAGCATGACCTTATCAAGGGCAGGGTGACCTCCTGCGCAGCTCAGCTGGGACATTTTGCTTTAGCTGAGGTTTGGGTTTTAGTAAACCCCAATATCTTGTCAAATGTGTTTACAAAATGGAATATCACATGAACATGTTTAACAATGGATGAAAATGTGGACTTCCTAATTCCACATTTTTGTAATTTAAGTAAGAGATAGTCACCAAACATTGTGACAATCACACACACACTCATACAAACACACACACACTGACCTTCAGGATAAAAATCTTAATAATTACAAAGTCTAAACGTCACTCTAGCCTTGTTTTCTGTTATATTTCTGGAATTAAGATTTATTTTTTAAATAAACAAGTAAGCCAGGGTTGGCAATTTTTTTTCCTGTAAAGGACAGGATGGTAAACGTATGCATTGCGTAGCGCATACATCTCTGTTCCAATTATTCAGTTTGGCTATTGGAGCATGAAAGTAGCCAGAGACAACGTGCAAATGAATGACTATAGCTGTCATCCTGTGTGCATTTCTTTCTCTTTTTTCAAGCACTGTAAAACCTATTTTTAGCTCATGAGTCATACAAAAGGAGGTGGCAGGCTAGCACAGCCTGTGGGTCATAGTTCACCAGCTCCTAAATTATGCAAGAAACTCTGTTCCTTTTCACATTTTCATGTATCATTTTAGGAGAGATTTATTTTCATAATTAAAAATCTCAAATATCTTCCTATTTGTAAAAGGAGATGCCTTCCTTTGAGCTTTCTGTAAGAAACGTTTCCTGTAAGTCATTGCGTTGTTTCCATGAACATAAAAACCATTTTCCTTGAAAAACATCACATTATTAAATAATTTGGGGTAATAAAGATGGCTAAGATAGCTTACCAAATTAATCTGCAGCATTTTTTCCCAGTGTTTCTCATTATTCACTCCAGCGTTATTGACCAAAATGTCCAGTCTTCCAAAGTGGTCTACAACCTTTCTGAAAGTATCTAATGTCAAAAGAGAGACATTATAGGTATGTTCTTACTTTCCACATATACATTTTATCATATCCTATGCCGTGAAATGAATTTTTATTTATCTACCCTGGTGTGAAAATTACACTCTTGGACAGCGACTTAATGCCTTGTTCCTCCAAGTGTGGTTTGCGAGCCAGCACCATCCATCGGCATTACCCGGGAACTTGTTAGAAAGGTAGAATCTGTGACCACCACAGACCAGTTACTGAAGCAAAAATCTTAACTTTAATAACATCCATAGATGATTTGCATGCAGACTGAAGCTTGCTTAGCAGTAACTTAGTGGTATAAATTTTAGAGAACTGAGCCTCCTACTCTAAGAGCTCTTAGAAGTCAGGTGGGGCCCTGGTTGGTGTGGCTCAGTGGATTGAGCGCTGGCCTGCGGACCAAAAGCTTGCAGGTTTGATCCCAGTCAGGGCACAAGCCTGGGTTGCGGGCTGGGTCCCTGCTTGGTGGTGTGCAAAAGGCAACTGATCGATGCTTCTCTCCCTCTCTTTCTCTCTCCTTCCCTCTCTTTCTAAAAATAAATAAATAAAATCTTTAAAAAAAGAAAAGAAGTCAGGTGAGCAGCCCACGTCTCTTTGTCCCTAAGAAATTAGTTACTGGGACTGTGGGGCTTAGACTATGATGAGTATCCTTTTTTAATAAGTCATATTATCTTAATATACCATAATGTTAAACACATCTTCTTGTGTACTCAAATCCATTCTCCTAATTTCAAGGAGTTTTAAGATCCTAGTGAGTAAAATCAACTTTTCATTTTATTTGATTTATTTGATTACTGTAACTTCAATATGTACTATTTCATTCTCTTCTTTCTCACGCTGCTATTACTACTTCGTGTAAAAACTATGTTCGACCAAGGTAAAGGGTGCACAGCTTCTGAGGCCTGAAGGTCACTCATTCCATTGTCCAGCTACAAATCCAGTTCTTGCAAACCCTTCTAAGCCAGTTCATGCTAGATTTTACTCCCTTTGTATGGAGAAACACATTCGTCCTCAGAGTTGACTTTTACATAGTTCTCTTGATTTAAACCATTTCCCCAGGCCCTTTAACACTGGTTTTCCTTCCATTACTTGGGACCATAGATACTAATTATGGCTGCTCTTGTAAATGACACTCTGTGCTCTAAGGTTTTGGGGCCAACATGTGAGTTCCTTGGAGAAAGTACATCCCCACACTTTATTTTGATTCAAATGAAAGCACGGAATTACTAATAACCACCAGACATATTGAGGAGGGCATAATCAGTTCCCAAATAGATAAATCATTATACAAGTTAACTGTCAAAAAATTGGGCCAAGATATTTTAATATGTGCTCTTTACTGTGCCCTTTATCATACTGGAGTGGAAAACGACTAAATAAAAACTTTACTTTTTCATGGAACTTCTAAGTGCTTATTAAGATGTCAAATTTATACTAGAAAATGTCCTCTGGTAGGAGAAAAACCTTCAAAAACGCATTTTTTTGCATTCCATCTTAAGAATGGTCCCTTCAGAACTTCACAGAACTTCCCTTTAATTTTCTTTTTTTTAAGTTTATTTTCCTTTAAAAAATTTTTTTTAATTTATTTATTTTTAGAAGGGAAGAGAAGGAGAGAGGGAGAGAAATATCAATGTATGATTGCCTCTCATATGTTCCCTGCTGGAAACTGGCCCCTGCTAGGAACCGGCCTGCAACCCAGGCATGTGCCTTGACTGGGAATCAAACCTCGATCTTTTGGTTCTCAGGCCAGTGCTCAATCCACTGAGCTACACCAGCCAGGGCTAATTTTCTTGTTTTAATTTCCACTGCATTGCTTATATTCTACCCTCACCAATGTATAACACCCCATCTTCTTTCTGACATAACACTGGATTTTGGGCTTGAGCAACTTAAAATCTTGGTGGCATTTCGATGCTGTGGTACTCGTCATCATTTACCTACCTTCCCCCCACCCCCATGATGCATGTCTTCACATATAAAATGAGTTATGTCTTGTTCCCCTCCAAACATTTTCATCTCTGTATTTTTATGATTTCAGTGGAGTCTCCTTTGGCCACATGTCTAAACTGTTTCAACAGTTGTAGGCAGTACTTAATCCTGAAACTGGAAGAGGCAATGCCGTGTTTTCCTGAACTGCAACTAAGTGCTGATGTCCAGACGGCATGTGAATTTCTCGTGACCACACGCCTCCTGGTCACTTATTATGTGTCTGAGTTTCCTCCTCCACAGCCATTTATCCTTAAGGAATGTGTTTACAGCCAAGGTACTAACTTTAAATACACAAAAGCAAAACAATTAAGGTTAAATGTCACATGTGAAACTACATAAATTCAGACAGAAATAGCTTACAGATGGCCTATCCTGTTCCTTATTCCATCCACATGGATGCTGAGATTTGGCGTGTCTCTATTCTTCATCCAAAATATCATGTGCAATCCACAAAACTTTATCCTCTGGCAAAATATGTTCCACCAGCACAGTGTTTATAGATCTCTTCTACTCATGCTTGTAATCCATGTTATAAATCTTTAGTAGCATTTTCAGATTTTAATTACACATCTTCCTTTAAAGCAATTTCCCTTGAGTGTAGGGGAACACTCCCTTCTAACATGCTGCTCTATTTTTGTTCTCCTACAGAATATCCCAACATTTTCAAAGAAAGTCACACTTCAGTGTTCCTTTAAGAACGGAAGTATCAGAGTGACTTTTACAGAAGATTTTGCTCCCTCGATAAAAAAAACGTGCCCAACAATTTACTCAGTCTTTCAATAAAACTTCGTCGGATACAAATTATTTTAATTTTCTCTTCTTTTCCCAGAAAAAAATTTTTTTCACGCACGTCTATTTGGCTTCTATATGACCGAGTTTGTTTATATGCCAATAGTGTCCCTGATACTTCACAAGTAGATTGTTCTATATTAAGTGAGTGGATGGAAACAGGAAAGCATTGAGGAAAGTCTGATAGAAACTTTTCTTCTGCCAATCTACTTCTGTAGCACAGCCATGATTACTTTTAAAGTACCAGCTCAGAGGGGGAAAAACCAAAGAGAACATGTACTTAACAGTACCTAGCATGTCTGTGATGATAACCCTTGAGCTTGCACTCCAGTACATTTTAAAGAGAAACCTGCCACATTTAATTGTCATTGGACTCTGTGTCTTCCAGTTTTCTGGGGAAAGTTGTTTGTCACAGTCCCTTAGTCTACCTTTAACTTTCCAAGTTCCATCTGCAGTTTTAATCATTTAATAACTACTGTTAGCAGCACTGTCTTTGAATTCACGAAGGAATTTTGATTACATTATGCGCTGCCAAATGACTAAAATAAAAGGATTTCTCAAGCTGACTTGGGTTTCCCCATCCCCCAGCCCTCCTCTCTGTTTTTATGGCTATTGGGATGGATGGCTGCAGGAACACAGCCCTCCGAGCTATCTCTTGCCTCTCTCCAGGAGGCCCAGCTGCCTGCTTACTCCAGGCTCGCACTCTGGCCCGGGCCGCTTTCAGGTTATTGCTAGTTCAAGGCGTGTTGCGCATTGATGGGTGGATCTTCTCTTACCTCTCAGTTGTTCCCGGTCGGCCACATCGCAGTGGATGAAGAGAGTCTTCTGAGGTTCAAACTGCGCATCCAGAGCAGCTTTACACTTCATACCTGTTTCACGATTCCAATCTACCAGCGCTACCTATGGACAGAGGAGAGGAAGGAGTCCAGGTCCTGCGCAGCTCGTTAAACAGACACACAAACAGTAAGTTAGCAGCAGGACGCTCCTCTTTTGGATCTGACTTTCTGCAATTAAAGGTCAGATTTTCTCCTAGCCGCTTTCAAGGTCTGCTTCTCACGACAGCATCAGCCTCAACAGCTTTTGAAAGTGACAAGGTGGACACCTGGGGTGCAACCTCCGTATCTCCCCGGGAGTCCCGTGGCTTGGAGGGGGTGGCGGGTGAGTCTCGGGGTGAGCAGAGAAGTTTCTGCGGCCCGCGCCGCTCTTACCTTGGCACCCTTGTGCAGCAGCGCCTCTGCAAACGCTCTGCCGATGCCCTGAGCCGCGCCGGTCACCAGCGCCACTTTGCCGTTCACGTGCATGGTGCGGCCGCTGTTCCGGAGTCCCCGCCGCCGCAGTGGCTTTTATGTTCCTGGTGCGCTTGCAATCCGGCCCAGCGCTCTCCTGCAAGTGGGCGGGGATGAAACTGTCAAGCCAACCCTGGGGCACCCAGGACTCTGTCACCTGGACTGAACGCACCCCGGGCGCCGAGCTACGCGATCTTTGCCTTCCTGACTCAGAGCAACCTCTGGCTTCGTTGCTGGCGGTGGGCCGACAGGAAAAGCAGAGAGGTTATTTCTTAAAAAGCTTTCCCTCCATCAATAATATTGTATGGTGCCAGGTGGGTACTGGAAATATCGGGGGGGGGGAGGGGGCACTTTGTAAAGTATATGATTGTCTAACGACTACGTTGTACAACCTGAAACTAACACAAGATAATGTTGAACGTAAACAGTGATTGAAAAACAAAATAAAATAAAAGGTTTCCCCTCAGTCCCCCAAGACCACCTCCATAAAACGAGGGCAGAGGAGACGCTGGGGAGCTTGCCCCCAGATCTTCTGCTCCCTTGCTCCCCAGACCCCCCACCCCAAGGAAACAAAGTAAAATTTTAGGGACATTGCTCTTTTGAGCGATCTAAGGTTTTGTAGGAATTCTAATCTCAGCATTTGTAGTGGGGCTGGGGAGAGCTGAATTAATTAACACCCCTATTTTTTACTTTGTCGTGTTTTTGACAGACTTTTACAGAGTCTGGAGATGACAAGTGAACTGTGTCCTGACCACACATTCCTGAATCTTTTTTTTTCATGACTGGGACTTTAGGAGTTTGTTGAGACTTCTATTTTAAATCAGTATCAGTCGTGTGTCATCTTGAGAGCACTCTGCAAGAATTCCCTCACTTGCCCAGAACTTCCAGGTTACTGTCAGGCTGGTGACTTGTTGGCTCAATGGGATGCTTATTCACTGAATCATACTTGCTTGGGAGGGGGGGCGGGAAATTAACTGTGACACAGAAGTCCTCGTCCTCCAGGAACTTTAGCGGCAGCTGTGTGCCCAGACACATTCAGCCAGGGGTACTTCGCTGACCTAGCCCTGGCTAGGGTAGCCCTCTCTCTTTCCTTTATTCTTTTTTCATGTTGTTGGCCTTTGTTATATGAACAGAGAAATCTAAACAGTTGGGGAGGTGGGTTTTGCATACTTCTTTGCAGCTTACAGGGGAAGGCGTGTTTGGGGAGGCAGCCTGAGAGAGATACAGGCTTTCAGTAAGCCACCGAAGCAGGTCCTCAATGTTGCTTTGAAAATGGGTCTTGAAGAAACATTGAGAATTTAAGACAAGAGATTTACCTTCTATCACAATAACTAAAATTGTAATGTGAAGAGTACATTGAGGCATGCTATCGGAAGAGAACAGCAGAGGACAAAAAAATACTACGAAATGAACCAAACCCGATCCCTACAGCAACACGTGCAGAACGTGAAAGAAAATGAACAATTTCTTTATCAGGAAAGAATTAACAAAAGAGAGTGACAGGGGAACATGTTGGGAAAGCAAAGGGGCTCCGCCCACGTGGGGAAAGTAGTTCCAAGAAGGCAGGAGCGGTCAGTGTGACAAAGCGCTCCGATGAGCATAAGGAAAAACAGGAAAGCTTTGACTTTTCTGTGCCTATGATTAGTGTCAGTAAATTCAGGAGGCACAGTAAACATTACTTCTAACTAATTACTTTGGATCATTAACATAAAATACACGTGAGGAAGAGGAAAATGTGAGACAGTTTTTTGTTGTTGTTTTACTTTGTTTGTCTTCATCCAATCTAAGGCATAGTTAGTGCCCCGACTCCTCTTTCTTCCGAGTTTCCACTGCTGCCATCTTCACCCAGACTCGTGCATTGTCCTGTGGGGACGGCAGCAGCGGTTAGCCTTCTGAGTTACTTCTTGGCACCCCCAATTTCTTAAACCAAGTCGATTTCCGCAGTCCTCCAAGTAAATATTCTAAAACATAGGTCTGGTGCTGTTCAGACATCTTTATTTTTTAAGTTCTTAACATATTTAAACTCCAGGGCGTTGCAGAGAAGGCCGTCTATGCCCCTTGTCTTTGTTGTAGCCACTCTTTTTACATGTTAGGAAACCCTGTTGGTTAAAACTGACCCCTCTTTCCCAGCCTCATGCCTTTGTCTTACAGCATCTGCTCACCTGACCACCCTTCCCCTCCCACTTTCTTCACTTGTCTTCCCACTCAGCTGCGAAAACTGGAGTGGGGATACGCTGATCACATTGTTGTTATTATCACAGAACCTCTGAGTGTGTTCGAGGAGAGCTGTGTCTTTCTCTCTAGACATCTCCAGCACTCAGCCAAAGTATGTGCTTGTACTTGTTGAATGAACTTCAGATAAACATGAGATGGGTTTCAATTAAAAGAAGTGGGAAAATCATTCTTTAATTAAATTTGATCAATTATGCTATTACATTTGTCTTAATATTTCCCCCTGTATCCCCCTAACCCAGTGCCCCCACCTCACTCAGACAATCCCTCCACCATTACTCGTGTTTACGTGTATAAGTTATTTGGCTACTCCACTTCCTATCTTGTACTTTCCATCCCATGGCTATTCTGTAACTACCTATATGTACTTCTTAATCCCCTCACCTCTTCCCACATTCCCCCACACTCACCTCCCATCTGGCGACCATCTGGTAACTTCTTTTCTCTTGCTGTTTTCAAGATTCTCTTTTTATCTTTAACCTTTGATCTCTTAAAATGATGTGTCTTGGAGTGGGCCTCTTTGCATCCATCATGACTGGGATTTTCTGTGCTTCCTGGACTTGCATGTCTATTTCCTTCACCAAATTAGGGAAGTTGTCTTTCACTATTTTTTCACCAGATTTCCCATTCCCTGCTCTTTCTCTTCTCTTTCTGGCCCCCCTATGATGAGAATGTTGCATCTCTTGAAGTTGTCCCAGAGGCTGCTCACACTACCCTCATTTTTCTGGATTCTCTTTTCCTCTTGTTCTGATTGGTTGTTTTTTGGTTCTTTATGTTCCAAAGCATCGATTTGATTCTCAGCTTCATCCACTCTACTGTTGTTTCCCTATAAATTGTTCTGTATTTCAGTTAGTGTGTCCTTTGTTTCTGACTGGGTCTCTTACGCTGCAGCATTCCTCACTAAGTTCCTCGAGCATCCTTCTGAATAGTATTTTGAACTCTGCCTCTGATAGACTGTTTATCTCCGTTTCATTTAGCTCTTTTTCTAGAGTTTTGATCTGTTCTTTCCTTTGGGCCCTGTTTCTTTGTCTCCTTGTTTTGGCAGCCTCCCTGCGGTTGTTTCTATATATTGGGTGGAGCCTCACTGACTCCATGTCTTGGTAGTGTGGCCTAAGGTAGTAGGTGTCCTGTAGGGTCCAGAGGCACAGCCACCTCTATCACCCAAGCTGGTTACTAGAGGTGCATGCTTTGCATGGACTGAATACACTCTTTCTTATAGGAATCTTGGTTGCTGTTGGCAGGTCAGTAGGAGGGATTTACCCAGGCCAGTCAGCTACAAGGACTGGCTGTGACCACTGAAAAGCACCCTTCACCATCCCTGGAGAGTCAGCTGTGCAGAGGCAAGGTGGTGGTGCTCTGATATGGTCTGTAACTGTCCACTGGGTGTGCTGGCCTTGGGGTTTCCCAGGTAGAGCAAGCCAAGGTCAGTCCCCACCTATGTTTTGCCCAGGGCACCCTGCCTGAGCTATAAAACAATCTGAGAAGGCAGATACTCATGCTGGGCTTGGAGATTCCCCCCCAGCCTGAAGCCAAGATGGGAATCTAATCTGCCTGCTGCTAGGCCTCACTAGAGACAGCTGTTGCTAGTTTGATAAGATTTAGGAACCTAGACTAACCATTTATATAGAAAAGCTGCTTGGGTGGGCCCATAGATTGGGTAGGGCAAAGCCTCTGGGGAACTCCAAGGCAGTTCAAACAGTGTTAACCAGGTTGATGGAATCTCAGATATGGCACCAGCTTGCCAGCTCTGTGGGGAAAGGGTTTAGCCAAAGGACAATGGCCTCTGCTCACCCTGATGCCAGACACCCTGATGCCAGTTTCTCCCTGTCTACCACTGGTGCCTTTCAAGCTGCCAACCTGGTGCTAGAGCTCAGAGGTAGTTAGTCTGAGTAGGAGTGAGAGTCTCTGTGGCAGTTGTTTAAGAGGAACTGCCTGTGTCTCCAGCAATTTCTTCCACTGACTCAATCCCCATTGATTTTTGTGACAGATGTTGTGGGGGCTTATCTTCCTGGCACTGGAACCCTAAGCTGGGGGACCTGGAGTGGGGTTGGGACTCCATGCTCCCGAGATAGCCCTCCTGAATTTTTATGCACATGGTGGTGGGACCAGCCAGATTGGCATCAGTGCCCCTCCTACCAGTAGGGTGAATGTAGTTTCTTTAATTCTGTAGTCATCGGACTTTCACTCAACTCAATTTTGTGGTGTCAGTCTTCCATTCAGCTCAATTTCTGACATATCTGATTGAAAATTGCTCTATATTCTAGTTGTAATTTTGATGTGGTTGTGGGAAGAGGTGAGCCATGTCTGCCTACCCCAGCTGCTCATCTTAGAGAAGTGGGAAAATTGGAACTAAATGGTGAAATTTTCTGTACACCATGGTTTCCTTTTAACATGACTTAAAAGGAAGACTAAAAAAAAATACATTGGATATATGTACCACACAATCTTCTTTATCCAGTTACCTACTGATGGACACGTGAGCTGTTTCTATGTCTTGGTCACCGTGAATAATGCATAGAGCTGCATATGTCTTTACAGATAAATTTGAGGTTCAAATTTGGGGGGCAGATACCCAGAAGAATGATTGCTGGGTTATATGGTAACTATTCTTAATTTTTTGAGGAACCTCCATGCTGTTTTCCATAGTGGTTATACCAATTTACATTCCCACCAGCAATGAACAAGGGTTCCTTTTTCAACCTCTCCAATGCTTATTATTACTTGTCTTGTGGTAATAGTCATTCTAACAAGTATGAGGTGGTATCTCCTTGCAGTTTTGTTTTATATTTTCCCAATAGCTAGTAAAATTTAGTATCTTTTCATACATGTGTGATTATAGGTATGTGTTCTTGGAAGAAGTGTCTGTTCAGGTCCTCATGTAAGAGAGTGCAGCCAGGGAGCCCCCAAAAGAAGGATTTGTAATGGAGTCCAGAAC